CACATCAGGTTAATCATACGACAGTGTCATAAAATTAAACAGACTTTTTCTTGCAAAATGAACATGTTTCTTTTATTAAATAAGTGGAGGAGAAAGATGAATATATAGGGTGACACTAGCTCTTAAGATTGTTGGCCATAGCAAGTAATATCATAGCATGAGTCATGCTTAAAAACACTATTTTTAGGAACAATTTTGTCATATCGAGTTAATTGTGCGGTAGCTTCATAGGATTAAATAAACTCTTCTTGCAAAATAAACATGGACACAAAACAACAAAAATCCAAGCACCTTCATAGATAGAAGGGTTAAGGGTCTAAAATATCCCTTGACTAAACAAAAAAGGTCAAGATTGCCCCTAAAGTAAAAAAAAAAAGGCATTTATGTCCTTCAACCATTAAGATTTTTGATTCCATTACCCTAACGTCTATTCTATCAAATTTCACCATTAGTGGAATTCATATTTATTTTTTTAATATTTTTAGTGGGTCCCACTATTTTTTTTATACGATTGAGGGTCTAAAATGCCCTTCAATTAAGCAAAAAGGGCTAGGATTGCCCCTAAAATCAAGAAAGAGTCATTTATATTCTTCAATTGCTAAGATTCTTTATTCCATCATCTTGCCATTTATTTCATCAAATTTTACCATTAATAGGGCCTACATTTAATTTTTTTAATAGTTTTAATGGGTCACACCATTTTTTTTATATTTTTAGTAGGTCTCCTCGAGCCACACCTTCAAGCAAATGTTTGTTCAATTTTGTAAAAATTTAAACTTCACGCCACAACTCTTCGATGGCTATAAGCCTAATTTTTCTACCATAATTTCTAACCTTGCCCTCAAATTCGCCATTACTGAATGGTGCCAGAACTCTACCAAACATCATAGGAACATGCTTCTGATGCACTTATCAGCCTAGCCATTCATGATGATAACAAGACTACAATTGGCATGTCGGGTGCTCTACCGTCACTATTTCACTTGCTTCAATATGAGAATGAGATCGGGAATAAAAGGGGGGGAGAGAGGAGAAAGGGATTTTTTTTAAAATTATAAAACATATTAAAAATGATGGGACCCACTAAAAATATTAAAAAAATTCAAATGTGGGCTTACTTATGATGAAAATTGATAGAATAGATGGTAGGGTGATGGAATAAAAAATCTTAACAATTGAAGGATATAAACGACTCTTTCTTTATTTTAAGGGCGACTTTGACCATTTTTGCTTAATTGAGGGCATTTTCGACCCTTAACCTAAAAAAATATAATAAAAAATAAAGTAGGTCCTACTATTATATTTTATTATTAAATAATTCATATGGACCCCGCTAATGGATAATTAAAGCTAGGGGCATCGAGGAAGCAAAATTTTGAAATTGAGGGATAAAACTGACCCTAAATTAAGTTTAGGATTATATGTTCAGGAATAAAAATAACCCTTAATTCTATATAAAATAGTATGATAGAAGATGAGAGAAAACTTTAAAGTTCAAAGGTTCATCCAAAACCTGTGGCAAATATTGCCATTTATAAGCAAATTTATCAAAAATTGGACAATAAAAACACATTAAACATAATTAAAAAATAATTTCATGTAATAATGGGGTTTGATAGATATGTTACAACATAAATTGATATAAACAGTAATTGATATTATTCATTTAGGGTAACTTTTTTTAAATACTCATAAATATTTTATAATATCCAAAAAAAAGTATTGAATGAAGATGGATTTGGCAATTGTGTCTTCTAACATCATAAAATTCTTGAATCTTTGATTCTTTGAGGCTGCAACTTGTGAAGGATTTTCTCAAACAGGCAATAAAACGTCAAGAAATGAAGAGTATAATAGAGAGATGAGAAAGGCAATTTTGTCATTTTATGAAAAAATTAATTCCAAATAAGTCTCAAGGGACTTCAAAATAATTAGAACATTTCATGATACTGATATATGCAAATTTCAGTAGTATTTTATTGTCATTATCCCTTTTTATAAATACATTTAAAGTGTTAAATAAAATGTAAATAGTTCATAAATGTAGACTATTATTAAAGTATTTCATAAATTATTTTTTATTTTTCCTTACTACAATATAAACTATTTATATCAAATTTTGACAACATAAATATAATTTATCTATTTATGTGATATCATAATACTTATAATAATAGTTTTTTGAAATATTAAGCCTCAATTATTCAATTTTTAATCCAAGGGCAAGATGAGATAAGAAGAAAATGAGAGGACAGGATGAGGAGAGGATTCAGATCCTTCAAATGTATTACTTTTATATCTTCTCTTTCATTTAATTTATTTTCTTAACACTATCCAAAAGGTAGATGCTGTTCTTGACAGAAAGTGAGCTGACTGTTCGCACTTCTTCATCTCTGTTCATATCTTCTCTAATATAAGGGTCCAAAAAGCAGAGGAAAACCAGAGTTTCATTGAAGTTCCAAAGAATGTCACGAAACAGAAATGTAAAGTTGTCTGACGCAAACAATTCCTTGTTTTTTTAGTAAAGAGGAAGGCAAAGCCTTAGTATACAGCGGGAGAGGAAAAAAACAAAGGTTAACTCCTAGGAGTTAACATGTCCCCAGTCAGATCTTGCTACATAAGTTCATTGGTCTGTAATGGTCACTTCATGAAATATATGGTGAGCAGTTTTTGTCAGCAATTAGTTTCTTTGGTAGCATAGCCATATAAAAGCACTCAATTTTGTGTCTTCTTAGATCTCTTCCGTAATGTTTACAGTTGGATGATTTTTATGGAGAATATTTGAGGTATTATAAAGTGTTTCAGCCTAGTTGGAGAACACTCTGATCCTCTTAGACTCAAACAATTCTGAAGCAGGTGAGATGGGACAGTGTTGACTATTTGCAAATAAAGGAAGCATATCAAACAACGAAAACAAGACAGCTAAAATGGAATAGCGTCAACCCGCAAATAATGTTCTAAATTGATGGAATTCGCAGCATCTCTACACTCCTAGGCTTGAGCAATGTATTTGACCATAAATGAATCGTTGCTAAGGTCAATAACCAAAATAATCAAAGTCTTACCGTACAAACTTCGAAGCCTCGTCTCAATTTCCAAAAACTAATTTTAACGTGTAAAGTAAATATTTTAACAAATAATTATAGAAAATTAACAAGTCACATTACGCATTTAACACATACGTTAATTGAGTTAATAATTTATCAAGTAATGTCATGAAATTAACGTGAAGATTTTAATTCAAAAAGGTTATTTAAGCTATTTTTCCTTACATTTTAATTTTAGTTCAAGTTTAAATTCTTGCAATGAAATTTCATATTTATTTGGGTCTCATTTATAATAATGTCACATCATGATCCTTTAATGAAATTCTCCCAAAAATTAAAGATCCAATCTTTATAGATTCACGCAATTTTTTTTTACGTGTGTACATGTATTCTTTTATTAAAAATGATTTTGCTTGAGACACAATCTATAACACTTCAAATCTTAATTTTTAGTTAATTAAATTTATGAAGGTTAATTTAGTAAATTTAGGTGTTTATTAATTTGAGGATGGTTAATAATGATTAGTGGGCCTATTAAGTTTGGTTTTGATATTTGGATCGGGTTTGAAAGTTTTTTAGGCCAATTGGGCCTAAGAAGAAGAGCAAAATTTTGGCATGGATGATGCTTGTGTCATAACATGCGGCCAAATTTTTAAAATTTACAGCTCGTGTTCCAGCTGTAAAATAGAAAGAGAGAAATCAAGAGAGCGACGGAAGGAGACTATTCTCTATTATGACATTAACTTGAAAGCATCTTAAATGTGTTTTGAGCTTGATTTTCCCTATGTATGTTTTCCCTGCTCCTCTTTATTGTTTCTACACAAATTTAGAGTAAGATTTGAAATTATTAGATGATAATTTTTGGATCTAAGGTTATGGGTTTGAATTTATTATTTTAGATGGAATTAATAAAAATTGTTCAAGTGTTATACACCTAATTGTTTTTTGTCCAATAAAGTCGTCTATTACTGATTAAAAAAATATCCCCACACACGGGGGCTAGACCAATAACTAGATAGTTTTTTGTGCGTTGCACGGATTGGATTTAAAAAATTTGAAACAAATGCCTTAAATACTATTAATATCAACACATAAGATTGCTAAATTTTTAAAAATTCTTTAATTCAATCATTTTCTTTCTTCTTAAACATCTCGTTTATACATATTTTATCTTTGTTTCTGGAGTCTATAGTAAATTACAAATAGAGTTTGAAAAGATCAATTTTTTTATGATTCTATCATACATGATTAAGGCGTGAAAACTTTTGAATAAGTATCCTTGCATTTTTTTTGAAAAAAATTATACATAAAATGTGAATTATATACTTTTTTGATATTTGAAATATATACAACATAATTATATTTCTTAATTTAATTTCATGTTTATAGCGTATTGTCAAAAAAATTATAACAAATGTTTTTTCATTGAAATTGTATATAATTATATATTTAATAATTTAAAAATGAGAGAATTAATCTTTATAAATTACTAAGGTTTGATATAAAAAAATTGTAAGTAATAATAACAATATGAAAAAATTTTATAAATTGATACATTTTTATTTCATTTTGTGGTAGTGGAATGCAAGATAAAGTTCTGTCATCCAGTAAAGTAAAAACAAATATGCTCGTTAAGAGGTACAACAAACTTTCTTATATACTGAAGCCCATTCCATTGGCATTCTATCAAAACAAAACAAAATAGAATACCAAGACTCAAAAATCGCAAAACACCTTTAAAAATTCTCCTGTGTCAGCACTAAAAAAGTAAGAAACTAATATATTCTCAAGTAATAACATAAGATTCCATCCTTTAATATTGGGCTAATTCATGGCTCAAATTAATTTTACAAGATATACATATTTAATACTCAACAAATAAAAGAGAAAGAGAACTTGCAGACTAAAATATGCCAAAATTGTTGCCATATTAGTACATGTAATTCTGGCTTCTCTAGATTTCACACATAACAGTGCTGCCAAGTGTATTATTCTTTAATGATCAAGCAGCGAGGGATATACACATCCTCGGTCCTTCTAGTGTCTAAAAAATCTAGAATAGAGCTAGCAAGTGGCTTCACAGCGTTAGATTCTAAAACAAACCTCGTAGCTTCTTTATCCTTGCAAGCAATTTTAGCATTTCTTGGATGGAATCTTGGCCAATTTCTATCAAGACTTGTATCATCGAACGTTACAATTAGATTATGGTAAGGAATTCTATGCCATTCAAAAACATCCGTCAATAAATTACCTGTAACAGGAGACAAATGGTAATTATGGTTGATGCTTAAATTCAAATACTCTCTATCTTCACATCTTTTCAATTCAGATATGTGCATTAAGTGCTACAAAACATAGACTTTAAAATAATTAGCTTCAAAACATCCTCAAGGATGGACATGAAATAGTTTTGCAGTTTAGATCCTCGAAAGTAGGTTAAGATTCCCTGCCAATCTTAAATCTTCGTGCTATAATCAAATCTAAAAACAACACTCCACCCTATCATTCTTAAATCTAAAATCAAACAAAACGAAAAAACACTTCACCTTGTCATTAATTGAATAGATCTATCTATAAACAACAATTCACCTTATCATTCTTAAATCTTTGTGTCATAATACTCTATCTCTTAAAAAAAAAGGAAGATAAGTATGATTAGGAACAAAGGTTTAAAATTGAAACAATTGCCAATGTTACAAAAGAAAAACCATGCATTTAAATGTCAAAATTACAATTTTTACCATTCCACCAAAGAAAGAAGGATGACAATAATTGAGATTCAACGTTCTACAAAGTTGTTATCAGGCATCTTACAAGATCAGTGGTACCTAGAACCACAATAAAGATCCTTACAATCTATAAAATACCTTCTTTCTGCTTGTGTTCTTCCTCATCTTCATCCTCCTTCTTTTCATCATCACCCTCCTCTTGAAAAATAAGCATTCTCTCCTCAAAATTAGTTATCCAGTAGCAAAATTATGAGGTCTGAATCCACATTTAATTAAAAAATACAAACCTAATTATAATTTATCAAAATTATCTTTTGATAACATAAAATCATCATAAAGTCATAATTAAACATGAGGAAGAATTGAAATTACAACAACATTTCACATTCACAAGGAAATAGCCAGGTTCGAAAATGGGGAACATAGATCCAAAAAAAGGGAAGGCAAAGAAAAATAGATTACCTGCGACAGTAGGTCAGAGTTGAGATATCTATTGTCATTCGGGATGGTTGCGAAGGAGCGTTGCACCCTCTTCTTCTCTACTCGTCTAGATTTCTACAAACCTATGTTAATTTCTACACACCCTCTTCTATTATTCTCAAGTTTAATACCATGTTGGAAGAAGTGCACTTTTTCGTTAGAATGACTGAACAAAGGAGAAAGCAATGGCAAGATCTTGCAAGGAGAACAAATATGAAATACAAGAATAAAGAAAATAACCTAATAAAAAGAAAGAAATAGAAAAGTTATTGTAAAATGCGAAGGAAATAAAGACTATCATGAAAAAGTTAAAATTGAGACGGAAATAAATAAATGTTCAGGAGAGAGCTAGCTCTTGCTATGGTTCTGCCGCGCGAAGAAGAAGAAAGATATATTTGCTGTCTCTTTCTCGCTTTGTTTCTTGCTTTGAATTGAGCCGTCAGGAGAGACCCATTATTTCTTGAAGACGAAGATTGGAGAGTTTTGAGAGATGTGAAGTTACATTGGGAAGAGATGCAGAGATTAATGGAGAAACTAAGACGAATGAAGTGCTCCCGTGAAATGATGAACCAATAGGTGTGGAGAATTAAAATTTAATCAAAATTAATTAATCAATAAAATGAAAGAGATTTTAACCAACGGCTTTGTACGAGATTTATAAATATATATTGATATTGATATATTGATGATTGATGATTGATGATTCCATCGCATATATTTAAGAGAACGGATTCCGCAGAGAGTCTGAGAGTTCTTCTCCATCGGATCTGATGTTGAACTTGAATCCCACTCGGTCGCACTGATATTCCCCCGACGCTTCTCACATTAGTCAGAACTCCGATCCCTAACCAGCTCAGAAGCTTCTTTGTCGTACATTTAGTTCCAACATCTCGTTGTAATGGCTCAAGAGTCAGTCTCAGAAACCCGAGATGCGCCGTCATCTTGCACTGTTCAATCCCAGCCAGATCCGCCTTTTTCCAGAAGCATTTCTTTTAGCCGACTCAACGCGCAGGCACGTGAATTTGTGCCTACTCGACCCACTTCACGGTCCGATCGACAAGGACCTAGGCTCGTTGTTCCACCACCACCACCTCCTCCCCCGCCCCCGGGTATGGTACATGTTTATCCACCGCCTCCAACTTCACCCTTCCATATACCGATTCGACCTCATGTGCCAGTGGGCACTCACGTCGTCCCTGGTCAGAGTCACCACCACCACATTTCCCATCAGCATCCGGTTCATTATCATCCTCATCAGCATCATTACTATGTTACCACCGGTGGAGGGGGATCGGGGGACCAAGACTCTGGCTTGCAGTCAGTTCAGAAGTCCCAAGTTGAGCCAGATCATACTCTCTCAAAGAATAAACTGTCTGAGGAAGCTAGTCAGAAGATTTTGAATCAGGTGACTTCCGTTTTTATCTTTCAACTTTTCGCATCTATACTGGATAGTTATCCTTGAATCAATCTTCTTTGGGATTGCTCCTGAGCCTATGCTTTCTACACATACCCTATAACCATAAAAATGCTAATACCTGACATATTATCCAACTGTCTCTTTAAACCAGCGCTGCTTAATGGAAGTTTTGTGCCCTTGCCCTTTTTTTTGGGGGGGGGGGGTGGCGCAGTTTTGCTGTATGAATGAAAATATGGAAGAGGGAAAAGACACTTGCTAGTTGCCATTACATTCTTTGTATAAGAACTTCACTTTTCTGGATGTCTAAGCATAATTCAAGAGATGGATTGGGCGAGGAATTTTAGGACATTGGTGCTTCTGCATATGTATTATTTCAGGAAAGGAAATTGAGAATGATCAATAAGCATGCATATATATATATATATATTTGTGAAAGCAAAGTTATGTATAACATGCTTTTCTTCAATTTAAGCATCATAGCTCCGGTACATTTTTTCTCATGTTGATATATTATTTTCATTTGTAGGTAGAGTATTATTTCAGTGATTTAAACTTGGCTACAACTGATCATTTGATGAGGTTCATCAACAAAGATCCTGAAGGTTATGGTAAGATGATTTCTTTTATAATTTTATTGGTTTTCTGACTTTCTCCTCATGTAACCAACTAACCTAGGGGATGACTATTTCATGCTACGTCCTGCACTACCTTTTTTCCACATTTCAGGGGAGGGAATGGTATGATGAGATTTTGGTCTTGAACTCTGAAGGTCATCAAGTTCAACAATATAATGTCTTGATTCTTGTTTAGTGTTGGATTTAGTGTTTCTGAGGTCTGCTATTTTGTATTCTCTCTAATGCTTTTCCAAAATGTTGTAGTGCCTATATCTGTTGTTGCATCATTCAAGAAAATTAAGGCTCTTATAAGTAGTCACTCCCAGCTTGCAACTGTTTTGAGGAACTCATCGAAGCTTGTAAGTTTCTTCACTTTCTTACTTTATGAATTTCATAAGTCTATCGATATTGTTTTAATGCAGATTGTATCCTAACTCTCTAGGTAGTTAGTGAAGATGGAAAGAAAGTCAAACGCCTGCATCCCTTGACTGAGTCTGATATAGAAGAGTTGCAGGTGATTTTCCACTCTTTTCTGATTTCCTTTGACGTGTTTATTGGGTGTTTTTCTTACTAATGTTTCACTTGTGGTGTATTATTGTTATCAGTAATGGTAGCTTATAGTTCCACTTTTTCTCCTTTATTCTTCATCTAATAATTTCCCTTCTTTTTTGTAGTGCCGCATTGTTGTAGCTGAGAACTTACCTGAGGATCATTGCCACCAGAATCTTGTCAAGGTTTTCTCTGTTGTGGGGAGGTACTGGTGTAGCTTGTATTTGAGTTTACTTTTAAGTGGACCCCTTTTTTTGAATTGGACATTTGTAGTGAAAGGTTCAAAACCTTGAATTCTAGTTACCATTTGTCTTAATTGGCAGCGTGAATACCATTCGCACTTGCCCACCTCAATCCTCAAATGGTGGAGCTTCTTCTGCATCAAGACTGGCAAAAGTTGATGGCATTCCTCTATCTAACAAGGTAAATATAATATGAAAACACATATTATTGGTTCATAGACGAGGCATACATAGGTGTCAATACATGCCCTATCGGTTACTTGATGTTTGAAGGAGTTAAAGTTGTTTGTTTGTTTTATTGTTTTTTGATGTGTTAGCCATGTAGCCTACCCCACCTAGTGGGATATGGCTTGTTGTTGTTGTTGTTGTTTGATGTGCAGGCCTTAAAACATGAACCTCAAGATCTGCTAATAGTCTGAACAATTAAATAGAACTCTGCAGGTGTGAATAATTTAATAGAACTCTGTGATAGTCAATGGTTTTGTTGATTTTCTTGTCTGAGTTCCACGCAATGACTTCATGCTATTTCATAGATTCACACCTTTTTTTTTTTTTGTGCCATTGAGTGGTGATGTAAGTGGCTCCATTCTAAGATATAGATCATCTTGCTTATGATTCAGAATTCACCCATGGAGATGTTAATTGATGTTTTTCTGTCTTGGTCCTATGAGCTTGGCTTTGCATCTGTCAGAAGTTAGGGCTGCTTTACTGTTTTGGCCTTATCAATTTAAACACGTCCCCTTTTTCCTAGTCCTAATATTAGTTTTTCACCCTCTTCCATGACGTATTGTTCTTTCTATCAGTACTTTTGTGAACCATATACTCACTTGACGCTTGGAATTACTAGAAATTTATAATTTATAATGTCAGAAATGCACATATACTTATTAGACATTTAAATGATAGCATTCTTTTATGAGAAAACATAATCTTTGTGTTATGATTTTATGGTAATGGCAGCAATTAGTTTTATTAGTTATAAGGATATAGTTCTGAAGAATTTGGGCAAAAAGATGGTCATTCTATTCACAACAAGGGTATTTATCTAGGTTTAACCACACAGCACTTTCGGTTAATCCCTAGAATCAAGGTAAAATCAAAGAGATATTTACAAGATCAATTAGAATCTTATCTAATTAATGAGATATAACAGGAAAGAACTAAGAGTCTAAGATGGCAGACTTGTGCTTCTTCAACCCTAATTATTCTTAAACCCTAACATGTTTGGGCTTAACCTAATGGGCCTAAGATGTTGTATTCCAACACTCCCCCTCAAGTTGGCGAATAGATATTAATCATTCCCAACTTGTCACTTAGTTTTTCAAAACATTTTCTCGCAAGTGGCTTGGTCATGATGTCGGCAATTTGATCTTTCAAAGGTATATATGCCAAGTCAATCACTTTTGTTTCAACTTTCTCAGTTATAAAATGGCGATTGATCTCCACATGTTTGGTTCTATCGTGATGTACCAGATTATGTGCAATGTTTATTGCTGACATGTTATCACATCATACCTTGTAAGGTCCCTTTATTTCAATGTGTAGCTCCTTTAGGAGTCTCATGATCCACATTCCTTCACATATGCCCAAAGCTAGAGATCTGTACTTTGATTTTGTTGAGCTTCTTGAGACCACTAGTTGCTTCTTGCTCCTCCAAGTCACAAGATTGCCCTAAACAAAGGTACAATATCCAGTAGTAGAGCGTCTGTTAACTATAGAGCCACCCCAATCTGCATCAGTGTAGACTTCCCCATTCTTCTTGTTTCCTTTTTGAAAGAACAGTCCTTTTCCAGGAGTCTTCTTTAAGTATCTTAGAATCCTGAAAGCTGCTTCCATTTGCTCTTTATGTGGGTCATTTGAGAATTGATTGACCACACCAATTGCAAAACTGATGTGTGGCCTCGTGTGGGATAAATAGATGAGTTTTCCCACTAGTCTCTGGTACCTCCTTTTGTCTACGGGTGATCCTTCTTTTCCTTTCTTTCTTCTCAAGTTCTTTTTGTAGTTGGTCTCCATAGGTATATCCATAGGCTTTGACCCTAACAACTTGTTTCCATCAATAAATCAAGTGTATATTTCCTTTATGAGACGCTGATCTCCTTTTTTGATCTTGCTGCTTCTAGACCCAAGAAGTATCTTAGGTTTCCAAGGTCTTCAACTTCAAATTCCTTAGCTAGATTTGCCTTCAATTTTTCAATCTCTTCTAAGTCGTTTCCTATCAGTACAATATCATCTACGTACACAATCAGGATAGCAACTTTATCACAGTTATGTTTCACAAACAAAGTATAATCTGATTGACACTGGGTATAACCATATTGTTTGACTGCTCGTGTAAAATGTCCAAACCAAGCTCGAGGGGATTGTTTTAGGCTATACAAAGATTTTTGCAATTTACAAACCTATCTAGGTCTTCTACTTCCCTTTAGCCCAGGTGGTAATTCCATGTAAACTTCCTCCTCTAGGTCACTATTTAAGAATGCATTTTTCACATCTAGTTATAGTAATGGCTAGTCAAGGTTTGCAGCTTGTGATAAAAGAACCTTGATGGCATTGAACTTGGCAACTGGAGCAAATGTCCCTTGGTAATCTATGCCTTGAGTTTGGGTGTATCCTTTGGCTACGAGTCTTGCTTTGTACTTGTTGACAGTCCCATCAGGATTGTATTTGATGATGAACACCCACTTAAAACCCATAGTAGTTTTCCCTTTGGGTAGATTGGTAACACTCAAGGTTTGATTCTTTCTTAATGCTTGCAACTCCTCTTGTATTGCTGCTGTCCATTCAGGATCTTCTTTTGCTTCCTCAAAGGCTTCTTGTATTTTCTCATTGGTCACGTTAGCCACAAAGGATTTCATAAGATGAGAGTTTCTTATAAGAAGCATACTTACAAATAGGATGCTGAGTGCATGTTCGTTTGCCTTTCCTTAAGGCAATTGGCCAACATAAGTCTTCAGAACTTGCCTTCGATTCAAATTCTTGGTACCTTCACTCACATGCTGTTTAGTGCCTTTGTTTCGCCTAGATTGTGATTGATCCTCCAATATAGTGCCCTTATTTCGCCTGATGTAAGGTTCTTTCTCTTGCATACTAGGTTGTCCCACCCTTGTCTCATTAGTACTAGAATTGTTCAGATTTTCTTTTTCTGTATTACCAGAATTTTCCAGAATATCTTCCTCTATACTAGGTTCAGATGAGGTGATATTAGGTTCAGAGGGTACAATTTGAGGTGATTGAGGGTCATTTGATATGCTAGGAAGAGGAGGTGTCGTCGTAATTGGTGCAAGGTCAAGAGGGGTTCAGGTGGCATTTGGGACCTACTAGATTCAATACTGGGGCTGCCAGATGCAAATTTATCAGAATTACTATTTTTAGAACAAATTAACCATTCATTATTGGTCTTACTCTCCCCCTGAATGGGTAATTTTTGAAAAAATGGTTGATCTTCACAAAACTGAGCATTCATAGTGATATAAAATTTATGAGTGGAAGATGAATAACACTTGTAACCCTGTTGAGAGGCTGCATACCCTAAAAAAAAATGCATTTGATAGCTCTTGGGTCCAATTTTCCTTTATGCTCATCATACACAAAAACAGTGCAGCCAAAAATTCCGAGGCATGTTTAGCAGTAGGTGAGAGTTTTGAAAAAATTATTGAAAACTTTGCACAGGGGTTTTAAATTTTAAAATTCTTGAGAGCATTTGATTTATTAAATATGCTGCATTTAAGATAGCTTCACCCCAAAACATTTTTGGAACATTATTGGTAAGCATTAAAGCCCTTGAAACTTCTAAAAGGTGTCTGTTTTTCCTTTCAACTATACTGTTTTGTTGTGGAGTGTTAACACAAGAGGTTTGATGATGAATCCCTTTTTCAAACAAGTATTTTTGAAAGGCTGTACTAGTGTACTCACGGCCATTATCACTTCTCAATATTTGAATTGAAGATTTAAATTGATTTTGTACAAAAACATGAAAGCATTGAAAAATATCAAGTGCTTCTTATTTTTTTTCATCAAAAATACCTAAGTTAGGTGAGTATGATCATCAATCAAAGTGATAAACCATCTAGCATTATTTGTAGTTGAAATTCTAGAAGGTCCCCAAATGTCACTGTGTATCAGTGCAAAAGGTTGGGATGGTTTATAAGGATGAGGCAGATATTGGTTTCTGACTTGTTTGGCAAAGTAGCAAAAATCACAGTGGAAAGAGGAGGGAGTTATTTTATTAAATAAATCTAAAAATAACAATTTCATATAATTGAGACTTGGGCGGCCTAACCTATAATGCCACAATATCAACTCATTATTTGATGAAGTAGAGCAGGCAACAGCATCTGCTACTTTATTTCTCTCTCCTTTTCCTCTCAAGTAGTAGAGACCATCCATTCTTTAGCATTGCCAATCATCCTCTCCAAAGTCAAATCCTGAAAAATACAAGGAGTGTTAAAGAATGAAGCACTACCAACAAGCTCCTCAGAAATTTGTTTCACAAAGACCAAATTGCATTCAATTTCAGGCATATATAATGCATTTTCTAGTTTAATATCTTGTGAAATTATCACAGTTCCAGCCCCATCAACCTTGGCATACATCCCATTAGCAACTTTGACATGAGGATATGTAGATTCAGTTTTAAACTCATTGAATAATTCCTTAAAACCAGTAATATGGTGAGCGGCACTAGAGTCGACTATCCATATGCTCTTGGATGTTGTGTGGGTGCTAAGTGCAGCTATGAGAGACATACCTGTTTGTGCCAAGGTAACGGATGGGTTAGAATTCTCACTGGATTGAGGAGTAACTTCTTGTTTTTCTAAAAGTCTCTTGAGTATTGTGATTTCCTCTTGGCTTAATGGCTGTTTTTCAGATGTAGGACTAATATATAGTCCTCGAGCTTCACCTTTGCCTTTTTGCTTATTGAGGAAAAAATGGTAGAAAATTGGTTGAGATGTTTTGGACATGTACAAAGAAGACCAAGGGAGGCACCAGTGAGAAGAGTGGAACATATAACTTTGAGTCCGATTAAGAGAGGTAGAGGAAGGCCTAAGAGAACACTCTCGGAAGTTATTGAACGCGATCTCTTAATTAATAATATTCCTAAAAGTTTGATAAATGATAGAGCACAATGGCGTCTTGCAATCCATGTAGCCGATCCCACCTAGTGGGATAAAGGCTTGT